AACCGGAGAGAGAATTCTAAGTAAGAGGTAAACTTTGAGGTGAGAATGAGGTCTATTGTTCTAAAAAACCCACTGCCCTCTTTCTGTTCTCTCCTGTCCCTTCAGTCATTGGTGTTTTGAGGTTACACTGACCCAACTCAAGGATGAGTTGAGGCTGGATGTGGCACGGTGCCCCTCAAATTCCAGTCTCCCTGGCCCCATCTTACTTTATGAGGGCCCATTTTATAGGGGTCACTGACTTGGCAGAAAGCCTAGGGTAGTACCAAATCAAAGTGGCTAACCTTGCCTTACTCCCACTGGGGTACTTGCCTTACTTGTTCCTGCCTTCAGGGCCTTTCCTGTCCCGTTGTCAATCCTAAAATAGATTTCCTCCTTGGCTCCCTAGTGAGATTTATTTACAAAGTTGTTTTCTGGGCCTGATCCTCATCATAACTGTTTATATGGCAAAATGGCTGCCTGACCCCCTCTTCCCTGCTACCTGACCCCTGTGTTCGGGAAAGTCCTAGAGGCTCAAAGACTGATAAGGTTTAATGTCTTACTCACTCCATGGGAATCTGTATTTTTGGTAATACTATATATCTAGTGCTTTCCCTCAATACTATAAGTAGTATGTGACCACCTTAGAAAATGTATATTAGATGTATATTTTTTTGTTTTGTTTTTTTGTTTAAAGGGGAGAAAGCACATATCACCACCCCAAAACCAAGCCTGACTAATACCTGGACATGATTCCAATCATCCCTCGATGTATACATTTTACAAAGTTGAGCTCATGGGCTGTATGAAATATTGTTTATACTTCCTCACTTAATATCACTAAGTGTCTTCCCTGGGCATGAAATCATCTTCATAAAGGTTTTGTATGACCATATAACAAGCCATCTTGTGGCTGTATCATATATATGGTTTAAGCAAAATGTCTAACAACTAAAAATCAATCTTTGATTTCCTTTAATGGGAGACTTTTGTACTCTGTAAGAGGAATTTAGCATATTGGTTCATGTTGTGAGGTTTGGATTTAGACCTACATTGAAGCCCTGTATCCGCTACTTAATCGCAGTGTGACTTTAGAAAAATACCTATTTCTTTATCCCCAATGTAAAGATAATACTCTTCTTTACAGTGTGATTATTGATATTAAATGGGCTAGTACATATGAAGTGCCTGGTGAGTAGCAAGTCTTAATACAGGAAAGCTGCTGCCTGTTACTATTGCTGCTGCTCCCATTACTACTGAGTTTTCAGCCAAAGAGACAAATCTCTAATTAGGAAATTTCAGCTGTCATTGACCTAGGCTAGTGGATCTATTTGTAAAGGTGGTGGGTATTTTTTCTAGTTCCCATGAAATCATGTGTGTTACTGTCTCTTATTTTGGCCTGGGCCTGTTTCTGGACCTTTGTACCCTCATTGACTTGGTTTTGGTAGGACCTCTATGCCACCCAGACTCACCTCTGCTGAGGCCCCTTTCCCCTCTTGTGCCTAGGAAAACCAATGAGACATAAATACAGGAAGCGTTAACAATGCAAGGAAGCCTATAGAACTACAGACATCAGCACCGAAATGGTCCTTGGACTATTTACCTAGTTTAATTGGCTGCCTTCCATCCCATTCCTGCCTTTGCACAGGTGAGGGACACTAAGGTCCAGGAAAAGGACAGGAGTTATCCAAGGCTGTAGATTTGACCAGTTACACGTGAGGCTTGGAATCCAGTGTTCTTCTTTGTTTTCAATTTTTATTTTAAGTTCAGGGGTACATGTGCAAGTTTGTCATACAGGTAAACTTGGGTCATGGGGTTTTGTTGTACAGATCATTTTATCACCCAGGTATTAAGCCTAGTATCTATTAGTTATTAATGTTTTTTCCTGATCTTCTCCTGCCTCCCATCCTCTACTTTCTAGGTGTCCATGTGTTCTCATCCTTGAACTCACACTTGTAAATGAGAACATAGGGTATTCTAAAACCTCTGCCTCCCGGGTTAAAGCAATTCTCTTGCCTCAGCCACCAAAGTAGCTGGGATTACAGGTGTGCACCACCTTGCCTGGCTAATTTTTGTATTTTTAGTAGAGACGGGATTTCATTATATTGTCCAGGCTGGTCTTGAACTCCTGACCTCAAGAGATGCGTCTACCATGTCTTCCCAAAGTGCTGGGATTACAAGTGTAAGCCACTGTGCCCAGCCTGGCATTTGATTTTCTGTTCCTGCATTAGTTTGCTAAGGATAATGACCTCCAGCTTCATTCATGTTCCTGCAAAGGACATGATCTTGTTTTTTATTGCTGCATAGTATCATACATTTTCTTTATCCATTCTACCATTCATTGGCATTTAGGTTGGTTCCATGTCATTGCTATTGTGAATAGTCCTGCAATGCACATGTGCATGCATGTATCTTTATGATAGAACGACTTCTATTCCTTTGGGTATGTACCCAGTAATGACATTGCTGGGTTGAATGGTAGTTTGGTTTCCAGGTCTTTGAGAAATTGCCATACTATTTTCTACCATGGCTGAACTAATTTACACTCCCATCAACAGTGTATAAGCATTCCCTTTTCTTTGCAATCTCACCAGCACCTGTTTTTACTTTTTAATAACCATTCTGACTTGTGTGAGATGGTATCTCATTGTGGTTTTGATTTGCATTTCTCTAATGATGTTAATTTTTTTTTAATATGCTGCTTGGCCACATGTATGTCTTCTTTTGAAAGTGTCTGTTCATGTCATTTGCACACATTTTAACGGGGTTGTTTGTTTGCTTGTTTTCTTGTAAATTTGTTAAAGTTCCTTATACATGCTAGATATTAGACCTTTGTAAGTTGCATAGTTTGCAAATATTTTCTTTTGTTGTGTAGGTTGCTTGTTTACTCTATTGATAGTTTCTTTTGCTGTGCAGAAGCTCTTTAGTTTAGTTAGATCCCATTTCTCTAATAAATCATAAAAATAATAAGATTCCTAGAAATACAGCTAACTAGGGAGTTATTTTTGACATCTTATTATTTTTGCTTTTGTTGCAGTTGCTTTTGGCGTCTTTGTCATGAAATCTTTGTCCATTCCTATGTCCAGAATGGTATTGCCTAGGTTTTCTTTGAGAGTTTTTATAATTTTGAGTTTTACGTGACATTTGCATTTAAGTCTTTAATCCATCTAGAGTTGACTTTTATATATGGTATAAGGATGGGGTCCAGTTTGAATCTTCTGCATATGGCTAGCCAGTTATCCCAGCACCACTGATTGAATAGGGAGTCCTTTTTCCATTGCTTGTTTTTGTCAACTTTGTCAAAGATCAAATGTTTGTAGGTGTGCAGCCTTATTTCTGGGCTCTCTATTCTGCTCCATTGGTCTCTGTGTCTGTTTTTATAGCAGTACAATGCTGATTTGGTTACCGTAGCCCTGTAGTATCATTTGAAATTGGGTAGCATGATGCCTCCAGCTTTGTTCTTCTTGCTTAGGATTGCCTTGGTTATTCCAGCTGTTTTTTTTTTTTTTTTTCATTTCCACATGAATTTTAAAATAGTTTTTTCTAGTTCTATGAAAAATGTCATTGGTAGTTTAATAGGAATAGCATTGAATCTATTCTATGAATTGCTTTGGGCAGTATCAGCATTTTAACATTTTTGATTCTTTCTATTCATGAGCATGGACTGTTTCTCCATTTGTTTGTGTCATCTCTTATTTCTTTGAGCAGTTGCGTATAGTCCTCCTTGTAGAGATCTTTTACCTCCTTAGTTAGCTGTATTCCTAGGCATTTTATTCTTTTGTGACAGTTGTGAATGGGATTGCCTCCCTGATTTGGCTCTTGGCTTGACTGTTGTTGGTATATACGAATGCTAGTGACTTTTGTATGTTGGTTTTTGTATACTGAGACTTTGCTGAAATTGTTTATCAGATTAAGGAGCTTTTGTGCTGAGACTATTGGGTTTTCTAGATATAGGATCATGCCATCTGCAAACACAGATAGTTTGACCTCCTCTCCTCCTGCTTGGTTGCCCTTTATTTCTTTCTCTTGTTTGGTTGCTTTGGCCAGGATTTCCAATACTATACTGAATATGAGTGGTGAGAGAAGGCATTCTTGTCTTGTGTTGGTTTTAAAAGGGAGTGCTTCCAGCTTTTGCCTATTCAGTATGATGTTGGCTGTGGGTTTGTCCGATGGCTTTTATTATTTTGAGGTACTTTCCTTCAATACCTAGTTTATTGAGAACTTTTAACATGAAGGGGTGTTGGATTTTATTGAAAGCTTTTTGTGCCTTTATTGAGATTATCATGTGGAACTCAGTGCTCTTTATCCTGCTATTAATTTGCCTATGTAATTGTTTACCAGTGTTGTAGATAATCCAAGATGTAAATCAGAGGTGAGAAGACAACCCTGTGAGCTGAAACTGGCTAGCATAGATGGAGAGGCTTTCCTGGAAGAAGTACAGTTATCATTTGCTTGCTCTTAGTTGTAGGCTGATAGCATTTTTTTTTTTTTTTTTAATTTGAGACAAAGTCTCACTTTGTTGCCCAGGTTGGAGTGCAGTGGTGTGATCTCGGCTCACTGCAACCTCTACCTTCTGGGTTCCAGCGATTCTTATGTCCCAGCTTCCCAAGTAGCTAGAACTACAGGTGCACATCACCATGCCCAGCTAATTTTTGTATTTTTAGTAGAGATGGGGTTTTGCCATGTTGCCCAGTCTCATTTTGAGCTCCTGGCCTCAAGCAATCCACCCACCTCGACCTCCCAAAGTTCTGGAATTACAGGCATGAGGCACTGTGCCCGGCCTACATTCTTGTCTGCTCCTTGGTAAGTATTGCTTCATGGCTGTATTGTTTGGTCTTCAATAAGCTGCTTAGGAGCAGGGGTTGTGTTTGGGTCAATATTCTCACCTCTTCTCCATCAGTATCTAAGTTGCTCTGACTCTTAGCATCCTAGTTCCCTCCTCTGTGATTGAGCAGAGACACTTACCCCGGCTCTGTTGATCACGGAGCCAGATGACTAACCTGCCTTCTTTGATCTCATCCTAGATCAGTGTGCGCGTGACCACCATGGATGCAGAGCTGGAGTTTGCCATCCAGCCCAATACCACTGGCAAGCAGCTATTTGACCAGGTAAGTGGGAGACTCCTAGCTTCCTCTCCTTCTCGCAGTAGCTTCTACCACAATGCCAACCATCCATGCTTTTTGCCTCTTGTCAGAGAATCTCTCTGTTCACTCCAAGAGAGGTCAAAATTAAGGCTGATTCCAGCCTTAATATAAAAGGAGACAAAGTTTAACTTTGGATAAATGTTAACTCTCATCTGTATTAGCTACAGACAATAATTTTCCTACTCTATGTAATAAAAACTCAGAAAGCATACCCAAGCTGTCCTCAGATTTCTAGCCCTCTCCTACCCCTGTCTCCATTCTACTCTTGTCTTTTCTCTTACCAGTTAGGAATGTTCACAGGAATAGAATTACCCATTTGAACACAGCCTCCTTCTTTCTTTCTTCCTCTTCCCAACCCTGGGGAAGTTCTCACACAGTAGAAGGACACAGAGAGCAAAGAAGAAAGGGAAGCAAGAGGGCTTGGAAAATCCATCAGAGTGATATACAGCCTCAACATTCTGGACAATAACTCACACCTCCACCTCATCAGAGGCAGGTGGAGAGATGGGATAATTGCCTGTCTGGTGAGGTCCCAGTCTCTGGAAATGGGAGCCTCATTTTTACTCCTAGAAGTCTGACCAGAGATGGCATATTCCCTTGAATGCTATAAGTGTCTGTAGCTCCCATCTGTTTATTATAACATATAGTACATCCTTTCTGACAATAATGATTCACAATGAAAGGACACCTCTTTGTTTGGAGATGGGAATGACCTCTTCACTATGGCGAGTAAGCAATTATCTTCACGTCATCCATGAATACTGTATGCTAAGTACTGTGGTAAGCATTTGACTTCCACAAAGCTCTGTGAGTGCATAAATTAGTACTGACACATTTTACAGATAAGGACACAAAATCCTCATTTTCCTAGTTAGACCTTGAGACAATTATTGAACTCTGTGGGTTGGTATCCCCATCCA